CACTTTTTTTTTTCTTTTTTCTTGGGGTGTTGGGGATTGAACCCAGGGTCTTGTGCATGCAAGACAAGAGCACTACTACTGAGCCACATCCGCAGCCCAATAGGTGGCTTTATATCTTAAGTTTTCTTCTACTCAACCTACCCCATGAAGTTTTTCATTACTTTAAATTTTCTAGAGCAAAATCATATTAATCAAACATTCATTGAATACAACTCTGTGCAATGTACTAAGCTAGTGGCCTTAAGTATATTTAGTAGTGACTGTGTTTGTGGGTCACGGGGGCAAACGTCCCAAGTAATCATAGTTACTTGGGAAGCTGAAGCAGGAAGATCATAAATTCAAGGATATCCTGGGTGACTTAGCCAGACCCTGTCTCAAAATAAAAAATATAAAGGGTTGGGGATATACCTCAGTGGTACAGTGTCCCTGAGTTCAATCCCTAGTTCTAAAGAAAAAAAGGACTATGTTTAAAAAAATTTAAAGAGTAGATTGAAGAAACAAACTATTCATACATAAAGCAGAAATACTGTCAGGCAACCCTGTTAGGCAACTGCCTTGTAATGAGTTAGAAACAGGGAGAGACCAAGGGCAGCTTAGGACAAAAAGGGCTCTTGACTCGGGTAGATAAGACTAGATGCCTAGATGCTGTGCTTTGAATGTATTCCCCAAAGTTCATGTGTTAGAAGCTTAATGCTCAATGCAGCCATCTTGGGATATTGTATTAGTCACTGTTCATTGCTAGGACAAAATACCCAACACCCACAATTCAAAGGAGGAACTTACTTTGGCTCTAGGTTTCAGGGGGTTCAGTCCATGGTTGGCTGGTTTCACAGCAGAAAGAGCCCTGTGGAAGGGCATGGTGGAGGAACTATGGCAACCAGGAAGCAGAGAGAAAAGGGAGTAGCTGGGAGAATACCCTTCTGGTCACACCCCCAGGGACCTGCCTCCTCCAGGGGGCTCCAGCTCCTAGGAGTACACTCAGTTAGGAACTCAGCAGTGGGTTAATCCACTGCTGGGCACAGTACCCCCTGTGATCCAATCACCTTCCAAAATCCCCACCTCTGAACACATCAGGCTTTGCGGGACATGTTAGATACAAACCATAACAGAGGTGGAGCCATACATAAGGTAATTAGGTCAGAGGGTCCTGCCCTTATTAATGGATTATCATTCTCATGGGGGACTGGATTATCATAAAGAGTGGCTTTGTTGTCAAAGTAGGTTTAGCCCTCTCTTGCTCCTTTACTCTCATCCTCTTTCACCTTTCGCCTTCCTCCTAGGGATGGCACAGCATGCGGGTCCTTACTAGATGCCTGCACCATGCTCCTGGTCTTCTCATCCTCCAGAACCATGAACCAAATTTCTTTATAAATGATGCAGGCTCAAGAATACCATTACAGGGGCCAGGTGTGGTGGCACACGCCTGTAATCCCAGAACTTGAGAGGATGAGACAGGAGGATCGTTGTGAGTTCGAGACCAGCCTGGGCTACAAAGTGAGTTCAAGGCCAGCCTGAACTGCATAGAGAGACCTTGTATTAAAAAAAGACAAAAAAAAAAAAAAAAGAAGAAGAATACTGTTGCAGCAACACCACGTACGCTAAGACACCAGATAAAGTCCACTTGAATAGTTCCATTCAATTCTCCAGTCACCCTTGTGAGGGGTGTTATTTTTATCATTCCCATTTTACAGTCACACACAGTGTTGTAGGAAGGTTACATAATATTCAGGAAGTCCTAAAACTAGTTAGTGGTGGATTCTCTTTTTTATTTTTGGTACCAGGAATCAAACTCACCACTGAGCTATATCCCCGGCCCTTAGTGGTGGATTCATTCAGCTGGTGTAAGTCTATCTTCAGAGTTGGGCCCTCAATACAGTCTTCTAGGAGAAGCCCAAAGGCCCAGGGAAAATGCACAAAGAAAGGGGGAACATTCAGTCAAGTGTTAGGGAAATGTGTCTGAGTCTGCACCCTGAATTGGGAGCAGAGGATAACAGGCAAGAAGGAGAACAAATGCAGTGAGCATGTCTGTCTCACGTAAGCACCCCAGGAGGTCAGCCTGGGCAGGGCATGCACCGAAGGCCAGGCTGGTGTGGAGCACTCTGACGGCTCAGCACTGAGTGGTTGTCTTAGTCACTTCTCTCTTCACTGGGGCAAAATACCGGACACCCACAGTTCAAGGGAGGAGAGGTTTACCTTGGCTCTCGTTGCAGCCCATAGTTGGCTGGCTCCAAGAGGCATGGCGGAGGGCAGTGAAGGGTGGAACAGGGAGGGACATAAACCCTTCCAGGTCACCCCCCGTGACCGGCCTCTCCCCACCAAGCCCCACTTCCTGATAGCAGGTTAGCTGAAGCCCTGTAACCCCATCACCTCCCCAAAGACCTGCCTATGAACACGTGAAGGGAAACCTAGAGCCCCTGCCCTGTGACCCCCTGTCCTACTGAGCACTGACCAGCTGTCCCCTCGAGGCAGCCTCGCCCTGGCTCTCACAGGTGCAAGGGCCCTGGTCCCAAGACCTAGGCACTCGCAGTACCCCCATCCCCTGCCCTGGGGCTCCCCAGGGGGCAGCTGAGGAATTTGGTGACCTGTGTACATGCCAGCACTGTCCTCAGCTCTGTGGGCCCAGGCCACATGCTTGGCTTGTGCAGAGGAGACGGCTTCTTCACCCACTAGGGAGCTGCAGGCAGTCCTGGGCACCAGGGTTTACTGTTTACAGACCCAGAACCTGCACACACAGCACATGGGGTATGTGGACAGGGCCCTTCTGCAAGCTTGTGAGAGGCTCCTCACACAGGATCAGGAAAGTGGAGGCGGGACTGCTGCTCCTCAGAGAAGATGTGTGGACCTAGCAGCTGTGCCTTTCTCTGGGAGTCCTCAAGGCTTGACTAGAAAGCCAGGCAGAGTGAGGGGGGACCTGTAATCCCAGCACTCAGGAGGCTGAGGCAGGAGCATCTGGAGTTCAGGCCAGCGTGGGCTACACAGCAAGTTTGGAGGCAGCCTGGACCATGTAGCTCCACCCTCACCTCAGAAAACAGGAAAGAAAGAAAAAGAGAAGTCTTCACTAGACAACAGCAGAGTCACTATGTTAGCTTGAGGGGAGGAGATTAGGACCCCAAATCTAGGAATTTACAGGCAACATTCCAATTTGAACAAAAAGCTAAATATTGTGTGTGCAGTGGGAGTGGGGTGGCGGGAACGTCACATCTGGAATGGATGATTGAAGTCCAGGCATCGCCGCTGGCGAGCTCTGGGAGGCGAGCACAGCAGTCCCTGAAACTCTTCCAGCACGCTTCACGTATAGAATGGAATGGTAGTTCCTCCCCTCAGGGTTGTTGTAAGGAGAAATTGAGATAATGCATGTGGTAATGTAAACTACTATACAACGCACAAATGTAAGCTATTATCTCTTCAGAGATGGACGGCCCAAAGAAGAAAAAGAAACGTGATAATTTGTTCCTGACTTCCAACAAGACCACAGTGAAAGCTGCATCTCCTGAGGCTGTGGCAGCAGGGCCCTGAGAGAGACCCTCAGACCCCGGACTGTCGCCAGGTCCTCTCGGGTTTCCTTAACCAGGACACTTACAGTTTAGTGTCATTTAAAAAGAGCTTGCTTGCCTCTGTACGTCTGAGAGCGGGGCATGTTACAAATCCAAGATTAGGTGACAAAACAATGAGAAAGGAGATGACTGGAAAATGTCTAGTTAAACCACACCAGGCAGATCTTTGTTGTTTTACAGAGTTCCTCAGGCCTTTGGAGGTCAGCACTTGAGGATGGATCTGTGAAGAAATGCCCTTGATGACCAGGCCCGCCCTTTATTTGTGCGAGGAACACTCTCCTCTGTCCTCACAGTGCTTCCTGTCTGCAAGGTCCTCAGGAGCTCCCAGTCTTGCTGGAGGCCCCCACCCACAGACATTTTCAAATGTCAGGTGACACTGTCAAGTGCCAGTGGGTGCAGGTGACTATAATTGTGCTCCTGCCCCTTCTCCGCCACCAGCTCCTGCTCCTCTCTGTGTCTCCCCAGAGCAAGTAAACAGCATAGCCTGCTTCACGGAGGGGCCTTCGCACCCTCATCTCCGTCCTCCTCTGCTCTGGGATCAGGTCTCCTACCTTCCCTGCCCCAAGGCACTCCGGCCCTGGCCTGCCACCTTCTGCTCTCATCCGTCCACACAAAAAGCTTGCATTGAAGTTGCTAATGTCTTTCCTTGGGTCAGACCCTCAGTGACTAATTTTCAGTGTTGTTCTGAACATGTAATGTTGCTTACCAAACCCTCCCCTCCTGACTACCTCTCTCGGGTGCAGTTTCCCCTATTTCTCAGATTTCCCTTTCTTAGCCTCTTTCTTTGCCTCCCTTCCCCTCCCTTACTTTATTAAAAGTTAACCCCTTGCAGATAACTCAGTTGTTCATCAACCAATGAATGGACAAACTGGTTTATCTACCTGAGCCATAAAAAGGGATGCAAATACGGACTACAACATGGAAACCTAAAAACATAAAATGTTTTATGACTGTATAAATGAAGTGTGAATGTGTAAAAGTAAAAAAAAGCCAGACACACCAGGCCACATGCTATATTATTCCATTTATTCCAAATGTCTGGATTAGGCAAATAGGTACAGACACAAACAGATCCATGGGTATCAGGGCTAGGCTACGGATGGGGAGGTTAATTACAAGAATTTCCTGTTACAGTCGTGAAAATACTCAAGAATTAGTGTGGCAATTGGAAAACACTGGGCATATACTAAATGCCACTGAGTTGTATACTTTAAAAGACTAAGTATGGTCATTTCTTTTTAGAGAAATGACCTAGAGATTGAACCTAGGACCTTCAATGAGTTATATTTCTAGCCCCACTCCCTTTTCGGTACCAGGAATCTAACTCAGGACCTTATGTTTTCCAGGTAGGTGCTTATACCACTGAGCTATATCCCTTGCTCTTTCTTTTTTATTTCATTTTTTGAGACAAAGTCTTACTAAGTTGTTAACTTGCCCAGGCTGAGCTCAAACGTGTGATCCTCCTGCTTCAGCCTCCAAGAGTGCTGGGATTATAGGCACATGCCACTACATCCAGCTAGTATGGTAATTCTTACGTGAATTTTACTACAATACAAAATGCACCTTATTTTATTGAAAACAGGCATGGATAAGGTCGCGCATGCCTGCTGCTTCTACTATCTTGTGCATACTGGGACTCTCAAATCCATTTCTCAAGCCCAGCCATCCGTCCTGAACTCCAGGTCGCCGTGTCTAAAGAGCAGACATGTCCAAAAGGCCCACAGATGCTCGCAGCTCATCTATGAATGACTGAACGGGTTCTCTATCCTCAAATCCTGCTCTTCCTCTTCTGTTCCTGCCCTTGTTTCTGACAGCTGTCACCTATGCCAGAAACCAGGATCTTCATAAGCTGCTCTTCCTCCTCCTCACTCTGGTCCGGTTGTCTCTAGTGTGTTATCTCTGTGCCTCAACGAGCTGCCTTGCTTAGCTCTCTCCTCTGGACGCTGCATTCAGTGGTGAATCCTCAGGGCAGCCATCAGCAGGGTTGAGACACAAACCTGTTCATGTCACTCTGAGGCATCCCACTGCCACCGGGATAAGGTCCAAGTTCCGCTGCTTGTGTCTTGCAGTCTACTGAGGCCTGGAGCTACCTGGCCCTCCAGCCCCAGTAGAACCGTTCCTGTCGAGCTGGTGTCCAGGTGTTTGTTACTCAGCATCTTTGTCTGCTTTAGTCCTATCAAAGACAAAATAACAACAAATTTAGTTCAAAGATCTTCATTGGGTTTTATTTGCCAACCTAGAATTGGGCAACACCTTGTCCCAGTGTTCCAGTGAGCAGAGCAGAGAAGTTTAGTTTATAACAGAGAAGACCGAGGGAAGCAGAAACAGAAAATGACATGCAGGATGGTTATTTCAAAGGCACTTTCCTTGTAAGAGCTAATGCAGAGAGAGGGAACCTTTTACCTCGCCAGCTAAAACTGGCTTGTTTGGGGATTTCACTGTCATCTCTCTTTCTGTTCTGATTTCTCAGACAGTCAGGTAACAACTTAGTTACAGCTTGGTGATAAGGAACTTCAGCAGGAGTGACTCCAATCTGGTTTGGCCAGTTGGGCCTAGAGGAGGCATTCAGTCCAAACCAGTGGTCCCATCCAGCTTGGTGCTACATTCCTGTCATCCCAGCACTCAGGAGGCTGAGGCAGGAGCATCACTGAGAGTTTGAGATCAGCATAAACTAAATAGTGAGACTTCATCTCAAAACACAAATAAACAAGTGAAATCAGTGGTCTGATAAAAATTTTATTCAACGATCTTTGATGCTGAAAGACTTGCATCCTTTTTATTATGAGCAATAACTAAGACAGAGATTGTACTTTTGGCTGTACTTTCACACGAACAGCAAGAAAATCCCAACATTCTTGAAAGAAAGCCCAGTGGGAGGGAAGGAGTTCTCATGCCCTTCTGTCCTGCAATTAAGGCAGAGCAAGAACTGCCTTCAGATATTTGGCTGTGCGTACATAGTGGAGAGGGCCACGAGTGTCACTCTGTGGCAATAAATTGCCAATTTCATCATCTATTAATGTCCTGCAAACTGTACGGCATTTGATGTTTTCTCTGAGAAAACATCTCCAAACTGTCAGCCATCTCCCCTGCATCCTAATTACTGTGTCACTAACTGTTTTGGTTCCACGTCTTTCTTCCACAAAATGGGCCCCTCGGCATTGGCTGATCACAGTTATCATTTTTTAATGGCCAAATCTGATGGATTTACAAAGAGTTTCCTCAAAGCCACTGGCCATTCGGGCCTCGTGCATCAGTGTGCGACCAATGTGAGCCAAGTAGTTTTGTCCAGGCCATTTGTCAATACCTGGAGGAGAAAGTGTCGGCAGCACAGGACGGTGATCACGCTAGTCATGCGTCTGAACTGACACAGTATCTCACTGCGTATACCTTGAGAAAAGATCAGAATTCAAGGTATAATTTCACTGAACGCATGTCACTTTCATACCAACAACAGGTCAAAAATTTGAAAAGAGAATTCTAAGTTGCAGCACTGTAAGTTGAGGAACAACGTTTTAAACACAGTGACCTCATGAAGCTAAAAGCTATTCCTCCTACAGGATGGACGATCACGGTGTTAGCCCTTGTTACCTTTAAAGTTCACAGTGTGTGCATCGATAAAAGTGAGACAGTTTAATTTGTATTATTAATTTGTATTGAAGGTAGGATAACACCAAAAGGGCCAGAGATTTAGTCTTCAATAAAAAAAAAAGATAATTAACAATCCAAAATGTTCCTATATGCTAGACCCTGTTCTGTGTGCTTTGTGCATACTGACTCCTTTAATCTCCAAAACTCTAGGACATAGGCATTGTTATTGCCCTCATTTTTTTTCCTCAGAGAAAATGACTCCAAATCATCAGCAGATGGGGAACCAAGGCGCAGAGTTTTACTCAGGTTACGCAGCCAGGCAGTCTATGTCCAGAGCCCATGCCCCGGAACCAGTCGCCCTCACCAGAAGCCAAGGATCTCCATCATCACCAACACATCCGGGGTGAGAACTATGAGAGGTGACAGGCATGTGGCTGCCTCACCCACCTGCACCTGTAATCCTTGCAGCCAACCCTTTCGGAAGCACCTTTACTATTATTCTCATTTCACAGAAGAGAGCCCTCGGGCTTCTGTAGGACAAGCTGCCCAAACTCATGAACGCTGAAATGCTGGGGCAAGGGCAAGAGCCCGGTGGACTCCGCCGCTGTGAGCGGTGCTCAGAAGGCAAGGGTCTGGTGCAGGCCCTAAGTGAAATGTCCGGCAGCCAGCAGGGACACTTAGAAGGCCCCCAGAGGCCCTCAGTGGAGTGGTCAGGTCTGGGGCTGGGGCAGCGGGGCCTAGAAAATACACAGTGGGCCTGGAGAGTCTTACACTGACAGGAAGTAAAGTAGTGCTCAACCAAACACACATTTTACACAATGGAAAACACAAAAAGGGAAGTCAGGTGCAAGGATCAGAGGATCAAGGCTGGAAAGCTCCCAGTATCTGAAACTATGATAATTTGAGCAACAAAATAACAACAGCATTGGATTAAAAAGAAAAACATATATATCTAAACTAATATAAATAATTAAATGAATAAATAAATACATGAGTAGGAGAGACAGACTGTTCTTACGGGAGACTGTTCTTATGGAACATAAAATTGTTCTTATGTTCTTATGAAGGAGCCCAAATTTAAAAAGTAGAAGAATGAAGAGATCAGAAAATGACCATTTGAGCTGGGCGTGGTGGCACATACCTATAATCCCAGCACTGGGGGTGGCAGAGGCGGGAGGATCCCTTGGAGTTCGAGGCCAGCCTAGGCTACATAATGAGTCCAAGGCCAGCCTGAACTACATAGCGAGACCCTGTCTCAAAAAACCAAATAAATTAAATTAAATTAAATTTTTAAAAAAATCACCATTTGAACCCCATAGTAATAAATGCCACAGGACAGGTTCACAGATGTATGCTAAACGTAGTGGGTGAAACTATAAGGAGAAGCAGAACCTTTGTACAGTCTCAAAGTATCTATCCAAAAATAGTAGTTAATAGCTGGGTATGGTGGTACATACCTGTAATCCCAACACTCAGGAGGCTGAGCCAGGAGGATTGCCTCAAGTTCAAGGCCAGCGTGAGTTACATAGTGAGTTCAAGTCCAGTCTAAATTACAAAGTGAGACCCTATATCCAAAAAAAACCAAATCCAAAAATATTAGTTATGGGGCTGGGGATTTAGCTCAGCAGCACAGCACCTGCCTGGTAAGCGCATGGTCGTGAGTTTGATTCCTGGTACCGGAAGAAGAAAAAAAACCCAAAAAACAAAAACAAAAATATTAGTTACTATGCTGGTTTTAATGTCTAACAATTCTTTGATACTCTGTCTTCCAGGGAAGGAAGGACACTCTTTCCTCTGCACATACTGAGTATGGGCTGAACTTAGTGACTAACTTCTAACAGACAATGTGAAAATAAAGTAGTAACCTCAGAGCAGCAAAACCAGGCAGATACCACCTTAACCCAGTGACCGAGGTCAACATTAGCTGTCTGTTGTGGTGATGTCATGTCCTGCTGATACTGTGTCATGAGAAAGGGACATCCCTTGTCCTTCCCCGGTGTGGTCAGGGGTGTAAACACCATACAAACCCAAATCGAAGGGAAGCGTTTGCTAGTCTACAAAATACCTGACTAGTACTTCCGCCAAGCGTCAAGGTGGTGAAACACAAGGAAAGCTTGCAAAGCTGCCACCAGCTGGATGGCTAAGGAAGCACGACAGCGGCATATTATGTGGCATCCTGGGTTGGTTTCTGGAACAGGAAGAAACACATTAGTGGGAGAACTGGTAAAATCTAAATGAAGACTTTATTTTAGCTTGTAGGCGCCTGTCAACATTAATCTCTTAGTGTGCGTCACTGAGCTCTGGTGATGTAAGTGGAGAACATCAGGGGAAAGCGGGGAAGGCTCGGAGGGACTCTGACAGCTGTCAGCAGGGACACCCAGAAGCCGTGGGCAGCTGGGAGGCTGTGGAGGACACCTGGCGTCTGTCACTGGTGCTTCCATGTGTTGCCTTGGTGGGTTGGACTTCTTCACCACAGAATCAGGATATTTCTCTACTAACGTTGGCAACCCCAGGAGGGAAGTAGAGAAAGGAGGTACTGACTGCGCTAGGGAGTGGTGGGGTAGACACGGAGACAGGTCCATCTGATGGTTACAGCTCAGAAAATCATGGAGGTGTTTCAGTTTCAGTGAAAAAAGTTGCTATTAACAGGGATAAGAGGGCCAGGGAAATAGCTCAGCGGCATAAGTGCCTGCCTGGCAAGCCTGAGGTCATGAGCTCGATTCCCATTACCAAAAAAAAAAAAAAAAAATCTCAACACAACACATTTAAAAAAAAATGGATAAATAAAAATAAAATAAATGTGAAGCTAAAACACAGAAGAAAATGTTCTAAAGAACAGAAAAAGAAAATAAAGCATCTTCTGACATTTAAAATAAACTCAGAAAAAAATAAACTCAGGAAGTCAGAATAAAATATAGATCGTAGTTAATATGTCCTGGACTGGGGATATAGCTCAGCGGCAGAGTGCCTGCCTGGCAAGCGCAAGGTCATGAGTTCAATTTCCGGAACCACGAAAAAAAAATATGTCACGACTGGTTCCTTAATTGTGTCATGCATCCCACACTCCTGTGAGACATTATCAGGGAAAGTTGGATGTAGGGTATATGGGTATTCTCTACACTATGTTCTCAATTTTTCTGTATGCTAAAATTATTTTTGTTCTAAAAATAGTCTGTTCATAGCAAGAAAAGGAAATTGGCCCCACCTGTGTAAGGTGTGGCAGGCAGGCTCCCTGATGGCTGAGCAGAGCTGCCCTCCAGGGACTGGAGAGGAGCCCAGAGAGAAGGCAACATGTGGCAGAAACAAGAGCGACTGATGACAGAAGCAAAGGAGGAGATACTGTCCTTACAGAAGAGCAGGAGAAGGAAGAGTGGGATGATAAAGAGAAGTCCTGCACCCCAAGTGCCCTCCCCACAGCGAACCCTGGCCCAAGTCCTTGCCTCTTAGCCAGTTCTGCTGCCTCCCTGCACCTGCTGCCTTCTCACCAGAGCATGATCATGCTGGACACTCTGGCCCTCCGGCCTGGCCCTCGGCTCTTCCCATCCTGCCTCTGGCTCCCCGCTAGGCCAGCGGGCGCCCAGGGGAGGAGCTTAGTGGCTGAGTCTCTACAGTCCCATGCCAATATCGCTCCCGCTGTCTCCTGGTATCTGGCCGTGCTTTTTACTCACTGGGACAGCACCTGAAAGTGACTTGTTATATTTATTATCTGTTTTTCAGCTCAATATTTTTTTTCTTTAAGTTTTGAGAAAGAGCTGGGTGTGGTGGCACACACTTGTAATCCCAGCATTTGGGGGGCTGAGGCAGGAGGATCACCATGAGTTTGAGGCCAGACTGAGCTACATAGTGAGTTCAAGGCCAGCCTGAACTACACAGTGAGACCCTGTCTCAAAAAACCAAAAACTAAATAAATAAGTGAATAAATTTTGAGACAGGTCTCACTAAATTACTAAGTTGCTCAGGCTGGACTGGAACTCACAATCCTCCTGCTTCAGCATCCCAGAAACCTGTGATTGCAGCATGTGCCACCCTGCCCAGTTATTGTCTATTTTTCTTCCTCTTTAGAACATGAACTCCAGGAGGGCAGAGCTTGTGCATGCTTTGTTCCCTGCACTGGCACCCCGCACATATTTCTTAACAGAGAGCAGGCTCATTGTCTACTGTTTCCATATGGTTTTTGACAGCTGTGTGTGCACTTAAAATTTGTCTAGTGAGACTTAAAGATTGAATTTTAAATAGTGATATACACAGCCGCCGTGGCTCGTGACTACAGTGCCGTCTAGCAGCTGTCAAGGTGCTTAAGTGAATTCGCCAGCTCCTAAAGTCCACTCTGGCCTGCAGGGGTGAAGAAAGTCACTCCAGGCTGAAGCAGCAAAGTAACTCCTTGGCACTGGTGGTCCCTCTGCCCTGGAGAACTGGGCTGCTGAGCTTTCTGGTCCTCTCTGGGCAGGCAAAGGTGGGATGCACGTCCTGCATGGAAGCGTTTGCGTTTTATGCAGAGTTGCAATGTGCTCACCAGGCCCTTCCAACAGCGCAGTTTGTGAGAGCTCTGGCCCTTGGCCAAGGGAGTCTCCAGCTGCTGACCGACCCTGCCTGGAAAGTCAGCTTGGAAGGAACGCAAATGTCCTAATCCTCTTCCAAACCACTCTAAGTAGGCTTATCCAATGACCTGTAAAACAAAATTAGTAAAGGGACACTTTAATTCCAGCTCGTTAGAGAGCTTCTAAAATCTTTGAGAAAGCCAACGCAGCAAATTCAGCACAGGGGAGCCGAGAAACACATCCCATTTGTAAAAGTGAAACGTCCTTGCATTTTTCCCTTGGGTTCTCTTACCCACGTGATTCAGCACACAGAAGACCCCTTCTGGGGTGCTCGTTGCAAGGATCCCCAGTGAAGGTGGGAAGCAAGCTCTCAAGAGGAGAAAGCTACGGTGGCCCAGTGAAGTCAAGTGAGTTTTCCCCAAATTCTGCCAAGTGCAGTCCCAGCTCTGGTCTGCTGACTCTAGTGGGGGAACATCTGCGCTGTTCTTACTACCTCGGAGCTGGCTTATTGCACAATCTCAGGAAATAGTCCATATGAAACCCTGGCCTACAGAGTGTTCATGTTCTGGTTTTTATTCTGCAACTTTTTTATAACGCATGTTTTCCTTTCTCATAATGTCATCTGGAAGCAATTCCTCCCAACAGCTGGATTTGCTTTCACAATTGGTAAACACATAAAATGGAAGGCCAAGGGAGATTCGGAGACTCACCAGAGGAGCCTCGCCCCCACCCGCTTGGCTCGCCTTCTGAGGCTTATCTTGGGTCTCCGAACAGGCTTCATCAAAACTCAGAACGTCTTCAAACAGGCGACCCACATTTCATTCCCTTCTTCAGAGGGTCAACATGTTCTTTGGGGGAGAAATTTTCAGAATACTTTACAGATAAAATTGATCAGATGCAGGCCAGATTGCCAGCTGCCAAGGTCTGTGTGCTCCATGTGGGGGCCAGCGGAGCAGTGTCTTCCCGGCATTCCCATCGCCCTACAGTCAAGACCTCGGGGCTCCCCCGGGCCCTCCCTGAGAGCAGCACCTTCCAGTGCCAACGCCACCAGAGCCCACAAAGAAAGACACAGCCCAAAGGACACTAGAGGGCCATCAAGAGAGACGGCTGGCCCCAGACATGCTGCAGATTCAAGCAGGAATGCTGGCCGGGCTCAGGAAGCGCCTAGGCCGAGAGCACAGCTGCCTTCGCCTGTGGAGTATGGGGGGACCACTGCTCTGGGGGCTCAGCAACATGGCCAGATCTGGCCCCGTGTAAACTGGAGTACAGGATGGGGGGCAAAGCTCAGGCCTCAGGCTCCCCCCTTTTGATCAAAGTTTCCAGTACTCAGGAAATGAGCTGAGCACATGGATGAACTCCCCGAGGAGCTCAGAAGTGTGCCCAGGCGAGCTGCACAGACGAGGGTGATGCCATTTGGCCAGCTTTGGGGTGGGTCAGGAGGCTCTAGGTGGTCAGGGGCCCGCTACTTCTCATGAAGGGGCCTCCCAGGGTCATGGGCCTTGGTCCTCGAAGCTCTCCAGGTAGAGACGGGCATCCTACCCACTGGATAAACAGAAGGGGTCAAGCCCCCGAGGGGCCCTAAGGAAGAAGACTGCTCTGCTCTCAGCGCGAGCCCCCTGCACCCTTTTCTCTATCTCCAGGGTCTTTCTCTCCACCTCTGACCTGGTGGAAAGTTTAGCTACCAGGAGCGGGGAAAGAAACTCCATTTCCCACCCCCTATCTTGTGGTCTCCTGCCTGGAATTTTGAAAATCCCTGAGTTTCTGGTCCCATGCCAGGGCTCATTCCTTCAGATCCTGGTCACTCATCTCTGGTCATCTGGGCTGCTAGGGAGGGGCCTGGAGGACACTTGGAGAGGGTCACCCAGGCCTAGGGTGACTGAGTGAGTGAGGGCCACTGGCTGACACTCCACAGCCATTCCACAGATGACAGACACCAAAGAGACAGCAGCCAAATGCAGTGTGTAGACGCTGTCTGCACCAGATTCGGACAAACTAACCCTAAGGAGACATTTGGAGATAATCAGGAGATTTGCGGACTGGGAAAGTGTATTACAAACCATTAAGGAATTGTTAATTTTGGTATGTGATTTTGTCATTATACAAGAAAATGTCCTTATCTTTTTGTTTGGTTGGGTGGTGTTACGGCTTGTGTCTTGATGTCCCCTCAAAACCTCATGCAGTCATAAGAGGGTCTTTTTCAGAGGTAGTTGGATCTAGAGTGTGATTGATTCATGGTGTAATGCTAGGATTAAGGGTGTGAGTACTACCCACCTGGATAAGGTAAAATAAAAGGGACAGAAAGAGCTGTGGTCACTTCCTTCTTTGCTTGCTTTTGGTATCTTCTGTGTGCAATGAACTGCTTTTCCTCCACAATGCCACTCTGCCTTGGAGCCAGCCAACTATGGACTGAAACCTCCACAAACTGAGCTAAATAAACATTACCTCCTATAACTCTGGGTGCTGGGTATTTTGTCTATTTTGTCTCAGCAACAAGAAAAGTAACTAAGACAGTTGGTTTTTGTTTTTTTGAAACAGGGTCTCACTATATAGTCCAGGCCAGCTTTGCACTCACTATATTTCCCAGGCCAGTCCCAAACTTGGGATCATCCCGCCTCAGCCTCCTGAATGCTGGAATTATAGCTATATTGCCACCATTCCTGGCTCTGTCCTTACTGTTTTAAAGATATATATTGAAGCATTTATGGGTGAAATGTAATGTCTGGGATTTGTTTTACATACTTCAGAAAGCAAAGCAAAAAAACAAAAGGAAAGAACAAAAAAGAAAAGGGAGGAAGGAAGAAGGGAAGAAGGAAGGAAAAGAAGCAAACATACCAAGGTGTTAATGGTAAAAGCTAGATGCTGTGTCTGTGGGGTTCTTTATTCTCTCTACTTTTGTCAAATGAAAAGAAAATTTTTTTGTAGTGAAGAGTCCCAAATACAGAGAATTATCACAACAACTCATGGAGAAAAACCAAATACACACCCGTTCTGGTGCCTCGGTCGTGACTGAATCCTCCCAGGGACACAGTAGGGAAGGGACAAGGAGGGGCCTATGACTCTGTCCTCTCTCGGGGCTCCAGGGCTGTGGCTTCCTCCTGCACAGGCCGCTGGGGGAAAGTAGGGCACAGACCGTGTGCCGCTGACGACCCAGTGCAGTTCCTGTTACTACAGCGCTGGCTGCTCCTGCGGCCCACACCAGGTTTCCAGCTGTCCCATCTGTGTGCTGACGTTCACCCAGCTATGACTCCTTCGCCAGCCCGCCCCGCTGCAGTGACACTGTGGGTCCTCCCCCAGCACTGGGTGCACAGCAGGGGAGGAACCCGTCCATCCCGGGCGTGGGGACAGCATTCAGTGGGAAGAGCCAAAGCCAGGCCTGGCGCATGCGCACACACTCCCTGCCGGCCTAGCCTGAGCCTACTCCTTTGTCTTTCTGGCCTGTAACATAGACTTTTCTAGGAAACTGTTTTCCTTTTTCCTTCTGCCTTGAAATGCGCCGAGTACTCGATTTTGCTTATTTTTCAGATGTATAAACTACTTACTAACAGAAAGGCCACGGACACCTTCCCTCTTTGACACAGCCTTGCTGCTGAGGCTGCGATTCCTGATTGTCTTCACTCACCCTGGGTCTTCACAGAGTTTAGTGTCCAGATCATTGCCCTGAAAAGGCTGTCTTTCTATCCTTGGCGTCCTTCTGTCTGCCCCAGAACCAGTCTGAGACGTGGCCGTGCGTGGGTTCTGCGTGATGACGTTCGCACGTTCCCGTGATCCTCAGCGAGCGCTGTGGCCCTCCCGGCGGGCTATGCCATTTACACCCGCGAGTGAAAGGTACAGGGCGGTGCCTCGGTCCTATCCTGTGCTCACCACCGGTGGCAGCCTTTCAGACAGGGAGGGAAGGTAGTGCTGGAGACGTAGGGCCCAGGAAACCAGCTGCTAAAGTCTTGCCTGAGCGATGAGCAACTCGTAAGGAAACTTTGTTTCCTCTTGCAGGAATAAAGGGTAAATTTTAAAAATCCTACTTATGCTTTATCTGTCAGGTTTGATGTTCACACAGTTTTCTAAGCTGGGTTCTCTAGCTTTGTTTGTTTTCGTTCCTCATAGTTTCCATCTGTCTCTCAATCATAAGGTAAAGAAGAACTGTAAGTCTTCAGATTCAGCTACTGAACTTGGGAAGCTGAGGCAGAAGGATTGAAAGTTTGGGAAGAACCTAGGCTATTTAGGAAGACTCTGTCCAAAAAGAAAAAAAAGACACCCAGCCCTTGTATACTGCAGTATCTCAGTGCCTACACCTGGGGCTGGCGCATCGCAGATGTCCAACCTCACTGCACGCATCGACCACAGTGCTTTAGGGTACTTGTGCCCGCTTGTCCCGTCCTACCACGCATTACCACTGTGCATTTTACTTCAAGACTAGAAGTTTTTCCAAACGAGAAATAAATCTTCTCTCTTTAGAATAGATACCTCATCCATAACTGGAATTTAATTCATGTACATTATCAAATTTAGCTAATGATTAAACAATTTAAAAACAAAGTCCTAAACAGGTCATGAGAAAAGCCGTGGCCCATGCAATAGAAATGGAAACTGCTGGAGCCCCAAGAAGGCCTGAAGTGCCAGGTGACAGGGAAGTTTATTTCTTGCCCCAGAAATCTGACAAAAGAATTCCCTTGAGGACTTAAGTCTCAGAAAGAAAAAAAGACCCAAGGAAGGAGACAGAGAGGGGAGGTCTTTTCCCGGGTCCACAGATTAAGGGTATTTAGATACCACTTAAGAAAAGGACCTGGTGCCAGGAAGACTTGTGCTTCAGTTTAACCAGGTTCCTACAAACTTGCGCATGAGAAGGAAGATCAGAAGCTCTGGCAATCATTACTGAAGAGGATTCAGAGAAATTACAGCCCACTCCCACTTGAAGAGAGAACAAGTCTCAGTCTTTTTTTTGGTTTCAACTTCTATTGAAATGTGCTGTTGTCAAATCAAAAAAGGGATGGATTCGGAATTTTACAACTCTGATGAAAGTGAAATAAAAGCAGATCTGTATCATCCTAATCAAAGCAAGTGCCACCTGCATCGGCTCCCTGGCTTGTCCCTTGGCCTTGGTGATGCTCATGTGCTGGAGGTTAAGGGTTTGTTAAAGAAAAGGGGTTTTGATTAAGTGTCACATTTAGTGTGATGTGACATGCTCTTTATTATTGCAAGGGAAGATTGGGGGCCAGGGGAGGCTTTACAGCTAGCTCCCAATATAAATTAGGAGTCTTGGGGAATGGGTGCTTGCAGTTGGCCTTGGTCTTTGAAGGGTCTGAAGAACACATGCATGTGAGTGTGCACACGTGTGTGCATAGGGAGGCGCGGTGCAGAAGCCAGCTTCCAGGTGCCTGCGCTAATGGGCTGGTTACCCCTCTCGGAGTTTGACTTGCAATTGCAACATGAGATTCCGGTGCTAGATTTGCCCATGTTCTTGATGTACCAGGTGAAGGTCGGGTGCCTTTTATTCCTGTGGAGTTTCAGCTTTGCCCCTGCTCAGATTTGCGGTTGA